TTAAAATTTATTATTAATCATATAAATCTCAATTGTTGGTCCTCCTGGATAGCAATCAAGCTATAAGCTACGAGAATACTATTTAAATCCAATCCATGTGAACACGATATTATACTATACTATCTTTAACTAGCGAGTACAATTTAAGTGTGTGTTTTGCGCTCGTCAATGGTGAGTAAAAATTTCGAAGGAATCTCGAATAACGGAGGTAAAAATACTAGAATGTGAAAAGAGTAGTGAAATCCTTAGGGTACGAGGGTAGACGGTTTGATGTAAAATAAAAATGAACAAAAGAGGGGTTAATTATAGTGGCTCCACGGCGTTTCGCCTCCAGGGACAACCAATTGGTGGCTGACGTGCATAAAATGCCATTATGACATGACTGACGAGATGTTTCGGGCTTTTTGTCGTTTATGTCATGGCGTATTGAAGAAGGAATCGGGGTACTCATGTCGTTTCTCGTCAGTTTATTGTTTGAGAAACGAGGAGACTATCTGTATACGGGTAAAAATCGAGCTCATGATACACTCCAGCCTCCAATAGGGTAAAACCATCTCGAGATATGATTGTGAAGGGTTGGAATCGAAGCAAAGGTCTCATCGAGTCAGAATCCGGGGGGCACGTTGTTTGCCTTCGAGAATATCGGGGTCATGATTCGATATCGATCCAAATCCTGAAAGACTTCGGAGAACATTGTCGGGCAATCAAGCACGACCAACAGAAGATCGCAATATCCGCGACCGGCCGGATATCACGGCGTGGATCTCGACAGGTATCAACGAAGAACCGGCAATCAGTTAAATAGAAGATTTTTACCTTTTATAAAGTTGTACTTAGAGTAGGATTCCCTTACTATATAAATGGGGTATGATAATTCATTAGACACATTGTAACGCGCATTCCAAAGCAATATATTACTATTTTCACTTTTATTGTAAGCTTTTCTGCCGTTCATAAAAGTTGTCCACTGCGAGCCCGGATTGATGGTGAATGCTTCACTAAGGCTGGAATCATCCTCCCCGCGTGGTTTGAATTTGTTGTATCTTTACTTGTCCATTCTAACTCAATTTATCGTTTTGTATCAAATTAATCCGCATATCCTTAAAACCACTTACAAATTTAATTGTTATTCGATTTTGAGGGTAATCAATATTATCTACGGATCATTAAATTTTTGCTAAAATGGATTAAGTGATGGATTTTAGTGGTTTAGCAACGTATTTTGGTCCGTAAATCCATTTTCTTTTTAGGGAATTTAATGTTTTTAATCAATCCTCTAAATTTTTTCCATTGAAAAGTTCTTCAAACAATATCATGGCAGTAAGGCATTGGATTAGCATTAAACCCTCTTCCTTAGAAAAGAAAAATGACAGATCGTTAGCTTAAATTAATCAAATAACTGTAGTAGGTAATAACAAATTTGAGTGGTGCTAGTTCATCTATATATGTAGCTTTTACATATTAGAAAATTATCTAATTAAGGGTTGCTATTGAGTTACTTTAACTTCTACTCATAGACCAAAGACTCAACAACTACCACACCCAACTATTTTCATAGGAGTAATGAAAAGCACTATCAATTTACTTGATGTCGACTCTCACTCTTTAGTCTTTACCCACCTACCTTTTTCTTACAAAGTATATAATAATCTTAAAATGCAATCCTTGAACAAATTTATTGGCTATAATACAGGTTCTATATCTTATAGACGTCGTTTGGTGTAATGTTACAGATTAAGGTACTAAAGCAGCAATTTAGCTTGGAGGCAAGTTTAAACATTTTATCTATATTTATGGTTTGAATTAATTATGTTTTGAGGGTGGGTGACACTTAGCGGGGAAATTAGGTGCTGTCAAGTCTATACTTAATTTATAAGTAGGTTGAAAACAAAAATGAATAAAAGAAAATTAAATTTGATGAAGATAAGGAAAAAAAAAATAACGTAATGGGCTGGATTACGTTAAAATAGCACGGGCTAGCCAGTTTTCGGATTGGTAATTGAAAAATAGTCATTATTTTGCTGAAACACGAAAAGTTCCAGCATAATATGCTAGATTATGGAGTTTCTGCGTATAAATTTCCAGCATATTATATATGTTGGAACTTCAGCACACAGAAAGTTCCAATATAATATGCTGGATTATGGAGCTCCTGCATATAAACTTCCAGCATATTATGTTGGAATTCTATCACATTATGAAATTCCAGCATATTATTCTGGAATCTCATATGTAAAAAATTCGAACTCTATTATATTATACTGAAATTTTTTCGGATCTTTAAGGGTGTTTTGTTCAAATTTTATTTTTACATAAAAAATGACTAAAATTAGATTACTTTGAAAGCTATGGTTATTTTTCAATTGTCAATTGGAAATCTGACTATTTCTGATTTTGTTTCTCTTAGATTACTGGAATAGGAATCCAGGTACTTTTGGTAGCCCTCTAGATGTTCTGAAAGGAATGAGGAATTAATGGGCTTCGTTCTCTATCCATGGGTGGAACATCTCTTCTGTATCTCCTGTGTTTTTGAAGGAGCCCACATTTGTCACTTTGGACAGTCAAATTCGTAGGATGAATATAAACAACAAAGAAGAATTAATTCAAATAGCCGTCCATCTAATGTTTTAAACTAAGAATATCCAAAGGGTATACAATATATGTATAATTTATGTATAATTGTGTATAATCAATATATAATCTATATATACTGGCTAGAAGAATTAAATTGAATCTAACCAGCTAAATATTGCAGAAATATGACATCTTTTGAGATGATCTTTCATTTTTGATCCACTTGTTCCATGGGTAGAATTTCAAGTTCAAAAGTTAAAAGTACTATTCATAGGGCAAGCGAGGAGTCATACACGTTAAATTTGAAGTTTTGTCCATGAGACAAACAGGAAAAAAAATTTAAGACCATCTACTTTGAGGACTATATGTGTACTTCGCTACGAATGAAAACAATCAAGAATACACAGTTTTCTACATTACGTAACTATTTCACATATCGGTCATTGATATAATTATGTGTAAAAAAAAAAGGAAAAGAGACACAATTGTTAGGAAAATCTCTGATCTAGTTGTGCACTTGGCAAACATAAAAGAAGTTATAACCGATTGAACTCTCACTTCTCTCGATAGGCTTCCTTCGTGTTATTCAGAACAAAAGACCCAGATGATATATGAAACAGCTTAGGCTTAATTGTCAAGCTATATATTGCTTGCTCTGACTCAATCTTTGAGGTCTCACATAGTTTTTTTCTTTTTTCTTTTTTACTTTAACCAAAAAACGCCTCAATAATTGAATCTTCGACTCGTCCTCGCTGTTCATTGCATTCATGTGGAGCTAAAATTTCAACCTTATGTATTCTGAATTTTAGAACGAGTGCTAATGATTGAGTTCTAAATTTAATATTTGTACATATTTTAACAATTTTTTTAACACAAATATACTATTTGAACAAAAGTTACTAAACTTGTAGCCCTATAGCTCGGCTTATGCCTTCGCCCCTAGCTAATTGCACCACGGCTTTCTCTCCCTGTTTCTAGCACTAAACAGAATTACAATTCCACATCCAAACAATTTTATACATCACACTTTCAACAGAAAATTTCATGATAAAACCAAAAGGATATTACAATAATTCATATATTATAAACAAAAAAAGATCAGAAAAACAAACACAAGAAGAAGAAAAATCACACCATAAATCCCCAAAATAATGTGAAAACAAAAATAAAAAAATAAAAAGCAGCTTATAAATCTACATCACAAGGATAAGACTTAGAACTCTTTCTGTAATTAGAAAAAGACACCCTAGGAGTACACAAAATCTTCAACGTCCTATGACCTGATTTCCAAACTCCAACTTTAAACCTTATTTTTGCCCTAATTTTCACCTCAACTTCCACTGCTCCAGCACTTCTTTCTGTCTTAAAATCATGAGCAATCTCGTCGTAAAGTACCGCGTCTTTCGCCGGAAGTGAAAGATCCAAACGTGTCACATTTCTACGAGGCTGAAAAAATGGTTCAACATTATTAGAAGAAATTGGTTGAGAGATAAAGAAGAGTTTTACTTCAATGTTGTCGTAATATATGGAAATTCTCTTGTTGGGATTGTAGGCTCGTAATCCGAATTTGAAATTTGCATATAAATGGTCATCGTTGGTTAAGTTGTAGTTATGAACTGAAGTATTTTCGATCGAATAGACCATTTTTCGGGGTTTTAATGCTAGCCATATGATGAGAACGGTTATTCCAACGATGATGATTAGGGTTAAGATTGCAATGGCTATGCACCTACATAGGCTAACGGGATTATGACGTGGCATGGCGGCGCTTGGCGGTTGTGGGCGGGGAAGATTGGTTGTGGAACTTAGTTTTGGATTTGGACTTCTTGTCAGAAGAATGTTGAGCTATAGTTTTATATGGGAAAAAAGAAAAGGTGCAAAGAATTACTATAAGGAAGCTACAGTTTTTTAAAGGGAAGACAGCTCCGTTTATTTGTGCTTTTTTTTTAAGGGTGTTAGCTTTTGATTTCTTGCATGAAACTCAAGAGATCTTATGGAGTTGTACTTTCTATTTTTATCTGACAACAATTTTATATAGAGTAGATGGCTTTCTAAAAAGGGTAAAGTTTAGATAGTGATTGCATGAATATATATTCTTATCTTGCATGCAGAGAGAAAGCTAGGAAAGTGTTTTGAGAGTAGAGTGGGGTTTAACTTAATTTTCTAATACAACATCTCTATAGTCATTTAATATAAAATTCGAGCTTTTTTGGAACCAATTAATTATTTATATTATGTTATAATATATGTTCTCTATATCAGCACTTCATTATAACAACCAAAAAATATTGGAACAAACGAGCCTGGCTGTTATATAGAGATTTGGTTGTACAATTTGATTGTGCAAACGTTTATTCAGTTTCACAAACTATTACTCCGTTGATTATTATTTTAGTTACCTTGACAACAACCTCACAAACATAATGAAGAAACAAATTAAAATGGGAAATTAAATTAAGACATTGTGAGATCTGTCCTTGTAGTCTGTAGAGAACAACCTTAGTGCTGGTTTTGGAACAACTTATAAGTAAAGCAAGATCCATCATCCAAAATCTTTCCTAGCTATTTCTCTCTCTGCAAGATAAGAATATTCATGTTACCTGCAATTCTCATCACTCTTTAATTTCATGGAAATCTACGTTATAATCAGTTAAAATTAGAAAGTACAACTCCATATAAGATCTCTTAAGTTTCATGCAAGAATTATCAAACCAGATAAGACGATTCTCTATTTCAATATAATATCTATTTGGGTTTTTGAGGGCCGAAGAACTTGCTGAGGAATACAACCTTTTTCAGTCAAAGTCCAAAAGAATGGGATAGCATATAATGGACTGGGTAGGCTACCTATAAGCACATTCAAGTAGGAATGTGTAAGCCCGTATTTGATCCAGTCCATGACCTGCAAAATCCAAATGGAAGAATTCGGTCCGGCGGTTATGACAAGTTGTGAAACAACCTCTCTAGCTCACGCAAAGTAGGGATAAAATATGTGTATACCTCACTTTTTCCGTACCTCACTTGTGGATTGCAGTTAGTATGTTGTTGTTGTTATTGTTGGTTATGACAAGTTGTATCATTATCGGGTCGAAAGTTGAATTTTTCACTTTCGAGGTCGCGATCGAAGAATACCATTGGTTATATACAAACTTTTTATGTTCACTATCCAATTTTACAATAGGTTAATGTCGAAACATATAAAGTTAAAATATATAGGGTGTGCTTGGTACGAGGAAAAATATTTTTTAATTTTTTATTGTTTGGTTGGCTTAAATATTTTGGATAATATTTTTTTCATGAACTTAATTTTCTCTAATTAGAATTGTCACGATTCCTCCAACTAGAGGATAATGTTTTTCATATCAAGAGAAGAGAAAATATTTTTTAAAACTCTTTTTCAATCTTTCCCACCCGATTCCACAACCCCCCACCCTACCCCTNCTTTTTTTTTATTTCAACAAAATGAGTTTTTTTTTAATAATGTTCCTTCCTCCAGATCCCCATGTTTCCTATGCTCTCCCCCACCCCACGTGTTCATGACTCTATTTTCTTCAAAATTTTAATTATTTTTTTAAAAATTCACACAAACCAAAGGAACTAATCTGATGTTTTACTTTTTCACGCGAAAATAATGTTGAAATTTGTGCTCCATAACTAAAAGAAAAATAATTTTTTTTTGTTGTTGAAAAAGAAAGTACCCTTTCTACAACATGAAAAGAAAGTACTCAATTTGTTGAAATAAAAGAAAATACTTTTTACAACATCATTATGTTGAAATAAAATAAAATATTTTTTACAACATCACTTTGTTGAAAGAGGGGATGAGGAGAGTAGCATAAGAAATTATTTTCCTAAAAAATATTTTTTACTCTCTAACCAAATACTAGAAAATATTTTCCGGATAAAAATTTTCACTCACCAACCAAACAAGGAAAAATAAGTGATAAAACCACCAATTTTCAAGAAAAATATTTTTCATCAAAAATATTTTCCTTCCTACCAAACACACCCACAATGCTTATCAAAGGTGTGTTTAACAAAAGGGGGAAAATACTAGTGAAAAAAAGATTATTAAATCGACTAGAAGATTGAGAGTTAAAGTTCATACAACTTTAGGGAGAGAATTATATTTGTGACGATCATGGAGGAGTCAAATCTCACAAAGAACTTTTTTTTGTTGTTGTTGTTTTCCTTTCTGCTATTTAGGAATCTTGCCATTTTTTGCGCAACAATAAATGAAAATAAAATCTTAGAAACCAAGCAAAAATATACAATCAATGGTAGTGATAAATAAACTTTTTTATGTATATAGATTATGTGTTGAATCTTCTTGGCTTTTTTATATACCTGCTATTTTATATTTTAAATTTTCTTATTGAAAATTTCGACTCCACAACAATAGAGTGCACTCTAACTAGTTTTGTCCTTGGTTGCATCATATTCATTAAGGTGTAAATGATTTGTCCAGTTAATTAGTACTTTGGTAATTATGATCCGCAAAAGAATTCAAAATAAATGGTCTCTATCTAGTTTCTTAATTTAAAGTTGTACTTTCTTATATACTACAATTAATATTATGGACTAATATAATTGAATTAATTACTTAAGTCCAATAAATATTGACTACGCTAGCCCATTTAGTTGGGCTACAGACGATGAGCCTACTTTATTAAGCCCAAGATGTCATCTTCCTAGAGGCTCAGTTTGGTGCCACGTGTCAAATGACGTAGCACGCCAAGTCAAACAGAAGAGGCAATAGGATCATGCCACATGTCAAAATGATAAGCCATGCCAAGTCAAATTAAAAGGCCAATAAAACCGTGCCACATGTGCAAGTGACATGTTCTGGCCAATCAAATGCGGCCTTGTCACTCTTCAATCTGATTGGTGGGAAAGAGTTTGTTCTCATCACAATTTTTCCCTTCCACAACTATAAATAGGGGTCGTCATAACTTAGAAAAGACACAAGAAGTTATAACAAGAAGCAAGAGAGAGCTCGTGGATCAAACACCGCAAATTCCTCCACATGTTTCAAGCTTCAAGCAATCAAGTTCAAATTCAAGAATTCAAGTTCAAGCTCAAGAACGAAGAATAAATCAAGGTTCAATGAGTACGAGTTCAAATCATAGTTCGTGCTAGTTGAATTCAGGATCATCATTCGTGACAACAAATATAGATTCAAGATCAAGCTCAAAGACCCTTGAATTTATTTACTATTGAAAAGAAGAATCAGAGGATTCATAAAGATTGTACACTCATATTATTTGAAATTAAATACTACGATTGTTGCAATAATTTTCGATTTCGATTTTATTTTTTTGATGCAAATTTATTGTCTACAAATTCTGGCACGCCCGGCTCAACTTTTCAATCACCAAATTTCAACAATATCGAAATGGCTTCAAAGAAATTCAACTCCAGATCAACTTCCACTGAGGCTGCTAATTTCAGGTTCTATACTGATGTGGAAAGCATCCTCGATGTTACATTTGGAAGCTTTGGACCAGTTACGAGGAGCAAAGCAAGCTCATTAGGACAACAAGCAGCCCAAGTGTAGTCCGCATCAACTCTTGTTTTCGGATTTTCATCCTCAAAATGAGCAAGATCTTCTACAAACACACCTGAAGGAGGAAGCGATATTGCTAAAAAGATTAAGAAAACTCTAGCTCAGCTGGACCTCTCCGGATCCAAGAACTCTGTTTTTAAGGAAGATGGTGATACTTCAAGTGATGGATCCTCCCCACTTGCACCGCATAATGTGAGCCAATCAGGGATCAATTTATGTGACAATCCATGCTACTCCCCATCATCCACAATAATCATGCAAGCCATGGTGACAAATGCTTCATCTGTGGAGGAGCAGTTGGCAAACTTGACGGAAGCAATCGCTAGCTTGACCATATGCATGCAAAATCAAGATGCTAGAATCGACAAGCTAACAGACAGGGTGGGAATCTTGATGGAAGAAGAATCCACCCACGCACCTGGAAAGCTCCTATAAGTTCAAGAGATTGATCCTCCCCATGACAAGTTACATCCATAAAGGAAATTCCAGTTTCTTCGGAAAGGATGATTCTAATCAATCAACTAAAAGAGTTTATTGAAGGGACTATAAAAAACAAATATGAAGTTGCTTCCAAGTCCTCCCTTACCTACACAAAGCCGTACACTTCAAGGATCGATATGTTAAAGATGTCTGCTGGCTATCAACCTCTAAAATTTCAATAGTTTGATGGCAAAGGCAATCCAAAGCAATATGTGGCGCACTTCGTTGAGATGTGCAATAATGCTAGGACTTATGGAGATTACCTCGTTAAGCAGTTTGTCCACTCACTAAAAGGAAATGATTTTGATTGGTACACAAACCTTGAGGCTGGATCTATTGATAGCTGGGATCAGCTAGAGCAATAGTTCCTCAATCGCTTTTATAGCACAAGATGTACTGTGAGTATGATAGAACTTACAAATACTCGTCAACAAAATGGTGAACCAGTTATCGACTTTATCAATCGTTGGAGGAATACAAGCCTCAACTGCAAAGAATGTCTTAGTGAAGCTTTTGGCATAGAGATGTGCATCCAAGGCATGCATTGGGGACTGCGCTACATCTTGCAAGGTATCAAGCCTAACACATTTGAAGAACT